ATTAAGAAACCCCTACTGTTAAGGTGTTGAGGTGTGACTTGTCAAATCTACATATGTGTGTGTGTCTTATCTCACTCAGCCTTATAACCTGAATCTCTCACTCACTGCTCATTGAACTGAGAAAGCTCCTCGGATGAGGAGCGAAACGTCTTCTGTTACAAATAAAGTCCAATTGTTTTTGTATTGAACTTTTTTTTAAGACAAATGATAACACATGCACATGCACAGATGATGATCCTACAGTCAAGGAGGGAATGCTACATTTGTTTGGGACTATTTTCAGCTGTGGAGGGATCAGAAGTTGGAAGGTTGGTGAGTATTTGGAGCTCAGTGATGATGTTGGCTCTGAGAATGAGTCATGACTGTTTGTACAACCTGAGAACAAATGAGCACATTTTTGATTTGCTGACAGAAAGCAAAGCAGCAGCATCTTCTGTCTGCATGAAGCAGACTGATGTGATGATCTCTACCTTCATGGCTCACCACCAAAGACGACAGGATTTCTGCCTGTTTGTCTATTAGCAAAATATCTCATGAACCACTGTTTGGATTTCAACAAAGCTCTCAGAAAGTATTTTTTATATACATTTACAACTGATTACACTTTGGAGTCAACTTCAAAATGGCTGCCATAGCCAAGCATCCTTACTCAACACAAAAATATAATTCAGTCAATGTTTTTTTTTGAATGTCCAGAGGACCAGATTGAACTTTTTTGGATTTTTCTACCTGGATTATTGAGCATGCATCAGGATATAATTCAGACAGTTTTATATTGACATGAACATTGGTGTAAAAGTAGCTGAGAGTGATCCCCAAATTATGGTCTAAGAGCGAACGGTTGCATCACATCTGTTATTACAAGGGGCAGCTGTGGCTGAGTGGTTAAAGCAGTCGCCCTCCAGTGGAAGAGTTGGGGGTTCGATTCCACCAGCAGTCACATGCTGAAGTGTCCCTGGGCAAGACACTGAACCCCTCATTGCCTCTGATGTGTGTCCCATCGGTGTATGAATGTGATCTAAAGCTCTGATTAGTCTCTACAGATTCAGATTATCTTTGTAGAGCTCTAGTAGAGTGATGTATGAATGTGTGTGTGGAGGGAAATGAGGGCGCAGATTGTGTTGTAAAGTGCTTTGAGTATCTTGATTAGATAGAAAGGTCTAGAGAAGCACAGTTCATGTACCATTGCCATAAAATTAAAAGTTCATGCTCAATAATCCAGGTGAAAAATCCAACAAATTTAAACCAGGCCATCTGGACGTTTATTTTTGGTTGTTGTTGTTGAAACATTTCATCCAAAGGACTTCAGCCGTCCGAGGAGCCACAACAAACTCAGTCCCACAAGCAGCACACTCCCATAGAGGACCAACCAGTTTGCTGATGATAAGATGGTTTCTGGAGCCCGCCCTCTTCCCTGTCAACTCCTCTGAGGCAGCCATAGTGGTTCTGTGACTGGCTGTCTCAGAGGAGCAGGAGTACTGCTATAAAAACAGAAAAACTTTACGCTGCTAACCACATATCAGAACATGTTTTTACCTCATGTTCCACCTACACATGTATTAATCAACATGTGTCTCGTCTCTTAATTACTTGTTCAGATTAAGTTAGCTGTATTTTTCTAGTTATTATAGGTCTGTTTGCATTTATTGTACTTTTGTGTATTTGCACAGTGTGTTGTTTTGCACGTTATGTTCTGTGTTGCACCGTGATCCGTGAGGAAAGCCGCTTCGTTTCAATATGGACTTGTACGAAGCTGAAATGACAATAAAACATCTCGGACTCTGAGATGGAGGGGGATGGCTCACTGTGGACAGCCCTGAAAAGGGAACAGCCGATGGAAAAAGAAGAATCAATTTTTGGAGTAAATTTAAACCAAAAGACAAACATTTCTTTAGTTTAGTCAGTGCTGCAGATAATGAGCTAACATTTGGTCCGGTCGTAGCTGAGAGTCATCCTCAACAAGCGGTTTGAGCACAAACACGTCTTTGAGATTGCGCAAAATGTCATTTCTGAGGTTTGACCAAAACATTTGTAACTCCACCCCCTTTCAACATAATGGTGTTAATTTGGCCAAAGGAAAAGTGACGGGCAGTGTATATTCCTTTAAAGATTGCTAGCTCTTTAATTTTAATCCTGATTTGGTGTAGACTGTTCTGAACTGTTCAGTCATTGAGGATCAAAAATGATCAGAGGATCTTTAGTTTGGCACCAAAAAATCCTTGCACTGATTAAAAAATTAAAATCCTCCAAAAGAAAGAGGGAATTACTGAACACCATGAAACCCCTGCAGGAAGTTTACGCTCCTGTAACACACACCGGTTCATGTATGTAACATGTTCTGTCAGAGGCGTCAGCAGCGACTCAAAGGCTGATCCCAGAACAGCCTGATCTGCTCAGCGTTGTATATCAGCAGCTAAGTTTAGACTCTTTTGTGTCAGAGAGAAATCTGACAGAGACGCTGCAGAGATTTCCCAGGCTGCTGAAAGGTTAAACGGGAGGATTTCACACATTTAGACACACATCAGAGGTTTCGTTACGACATTAATCAGACATCTGAAAACTCTGGGAGCCAATAAAACAAAACAAATACAAGCGTTAAACTAGATAAATTGCTCTTTTTTTTCTGAAAATGCAGAGTAAATGCTGAATGATACTGCTCAAATCTGCGGAAGCTGAAACAGAGCTGTTAAAAGTAAAACAAGCAAAACAACAGCTAAAACGAGAACACCATAAACTAAAGCCAAACTTTCCAAATCAGATGTAAATAACAAAACAACAACTAAAAATAGCAAAACAGTTGCTAAAGCTAAAATTAGCAAGAGAAATGCAAAAATAAGCAAATCTGTAGCTAAAAGGTAAAAGGATCAGACGGTTGCCTTAAAATAAAAAAGAAGGAATGATAGCTAAAAAAATAAAATCAGCAAAACTGGGTTGAAATTAGCCAAACAGTGGCTAAAAGCAGCACTT